TGTATCATGTGATCAAATGTATTCATCATTTCATTTTAGAGTTTAATGGTTGCTAATTTTTTGTGTTTAAAATTCATTTAAAGAGGAAATAATGTGCTCATTTTCAGGTTCTTGTGTATTTTCTGCCTCCACTGTGACATGTCTCTAAGCTTTAAGATTTAAAAGGTCTTTGTTTTTCTCATGATGCCTGAAGAGAAAAGACAAAACTCCCTCTGGAGGGAACGTTGGGATTTTAGCCTTTGCAGACCATTTACATGCTCAACCATCTATAATAGGGCCTTTCTTTAAATGATGTGACTTTGCCGTTAAAAGCCTTTTTGAAACACTTTATTTTACAGCCTAAAAATTATAGTGTGATTGAGTGTGATAAGAAAAGTACCATTTCAGCTCTTAGACGTTTTATTTTTATTTATTTTTTTCAGGCAAGAATGGAGAACACTTCCACCGGAGGAAACTCAATTGTGTTAAGAGTGAATCCACGAGCTGTCAGTCAACTCTCTCCCCACTCTGTGAAGCACCTGGGGACGCTGCAGTGTTCGTCCTTTAAGCGTAAGAATGTCATTTTCGAGCCTGAGACCTGAAAAACAGGCTCAGGGTTTAACAGAGTGCTAAGAAGTGTTTGAACTTTAAATCCAAAGGAATATTTCCCCCAACAAGTAGAACGGCGCTGGGATGAAGGGAAACAGAAATGTTAAAAGACAGTTTATTTGGCAACACCACAGAGGTCTCTCCTCAGGGGTTGAGAGCAAAAATGTAAACATGTTGAAACATTGATCACTGAGCATCAAGCTGCATATTTGAAGATATACATTTGAATCACAGACACATGTAATCACTGACTATTATGACCAACAACAATCAGATATCTTTTACATGTAATCATATAACATTATAGCAAAATAGATTGAAGATTCACATTTAATGGACATAAAATACATATTTACAAGATAAACCACATTCTCATCTGAGTGAAACACTTTAAAATCACACAGCATTTAGATGAATTTCTGAAAACATTTCACAAGATCATTTATTTCATGAATATCCTAAACTGAAATGTAACATGCAATGAAATATAAGCACCAACTTTAATGCAAATGGAATGTCCATTTCATTATACGTGTTAATTATTTCGAGAAAATATCCTGATGAATATTGTGCTGTGGCTCCTGAATACAATTTTTGACTGAGAAAATAAGAAACATTGCCACTTAGGCAAACAGTGTTGTGTGCAAATGCTAAGGTCAATGCTGTCCCAAACAGGTCTGAACCAGGCCCGGCGCCACGAGGGGCCAAAAGGGGGCATTGCCCCGTCAGTTGTATTCTTTGCCCCCTCACTTTGAGCATCATTCATCCATCAAAAAGTACAATAAATGTCACAATTATTAAATAACTTTAAATAATCATTTTCCCCAATTCACGTTACTATGTTTAGATCAGATATATGGGCAAGTCAAGCAACGTGTAAAAAAGCCTCAACCCTAAGTGAGCTTGTAGTCTTAATTAATGTTAGCATCTGTGCTTAGCTGTAAACACAGTCGGATGGGTGACCAAAACGCCCCCGTTTTCCGGGCGAAGTCCCCGTTTTCGGTGGGTTTTGAATGTGCGTTAAAAAACTTAGAGCAAGGTGAAATCAAATGTTACATGTCAGTAAAAACAGAGTAACAAGAGGTTTATCAATTCTTAAATGTCCCCTCCTCGACTCCTATCCTCGTGTCTTAGTCCCGCCCACAGGAGATGCGAGCGGAGGACTGAGGAGGGGAACCGAGGAGAGAGGAGGGGAAGCAGCAGGCGGTTAGAGAAATGAGAACTCCTCTCCTCTGAGCGGTCATCTTAAAGAGACGTCCATTAATGATGACAGGAGGCACAGCAGCCTGATGGACAGATGTGTTCATGATGACTTACATATTTACTTTGATTCATTGACAGTGCGGTATAATGAGACAATAACAGGCTACAGATGCGGACACACACACACACATATATTTATATAAATATATACAATTTCAGCCCCCTCAGTCATTTCATCCTGGAGCTGGGCCTGGTCTGAACAGTAAAGTCGGTGCATTCTCTTCAATGGCCACCACGTGCTACTAAAAAGTGGTTGAAAAGATTGTATAGAAGTCAGTGAGAAAATGACACTACTTCTTAGTTGATTTAATACATATGTAAACATATTTTACTCAAGAGTTTATGGTCTCAAGTGATAGCTCGGCGTATACTTCAAGCCTCATTTTGTCAATAAGGATCCCATTTAGAGTACAATAGACATAAAGAAGGATATGCTTTATTGGGTGGCTACCCTGAGGTTGATGAGACGCTACCACGTCGTCAGGTTTGGGTGTTCGTCCCCATTTCCAAATGTTAACCCTGTCACAATTTGTTTTCAGCGCATTAATTGTAACATTGTCTTGTTTAGTGTCCGGTTGTACTTGCTTCCCCCCTCCTTTGACACTTACTGTTCCTTCTTTTCATATACAGTCTTTGGAGGGGAGCAGGGATTTCTGGTATGAAAAAACCTAGAGAGGTGACCTTGATGAAAGCCACAAATATAAACTTGTATGTCTATGTCCAACCCAGTCTCACGGCATTTCGTGTTATAGTCGCGAAATTTATTTCATCTATTGATTCGTGTTCACCAACACGATTTTCGCATTTTTTTCGTGTCACACAGAACGATTTTAAAAGCAATGTATTTCTATTGGTAGTATGTCTCGTGCCTGCACCACGTCTTTTTGTCCGGTCGGGTCTTGGAAGACCGGAAGCTGTGTGGTTCACAAAAACATTTTCTATCCCTTTTATTTTAAATTGTATAATGTCGGAGTTTTTTTGCCGTCCGCGAGGAAAATAAATGTGGCAAAGAGCCTCAGAATACTGAAATCTGTATTTTTTTAAATCTGTTGTTCCTTCTAATTTGTTATTATTTACATTGGTTTTAAAATCGTTCTGTGTGACACGAAAAAAATTGCGAAATCGTATTGGTGTCAATAGATTCATTTCGTGACTATAACACGAAATGCCGTGAGACTGTGTTGCTATGTCAGAGTACATGCAGATGTTTAGTAGGTATATTGATAACCATGTTAACCATTTTAGTTTAGGTGTGTTTTTATGCTACCATCTGCTACTTACAAATAAACATACATGAGGCTGAGCCAGTGATTCACCACCAACCATACATCCAATGACACACTTAATCCAAACAAGATTACTGAGCAATTGTTATAAAAATAACGTCAGATAAATAGACGTAAAACAGAATGTGTTTCTTTGAAGAGAATGCTAGCTATAAAAACACATGTTGGCACAATGGCACTGGCAGCAGGGTGGAAAATATCTCTGGAACCATCTGACCAGTATAACATTCATTTGTATATAATACTATAATTATAATGTACTATATACCCGGGCTTCTCAACATTTGAAAGGTATGGCCGTTATCTGAAATTCTCAAAAGACCACCTTCCTAAATAAATAAGGGAAAATAACACAATATAACGAATAAACTGAGCAGTGAGTATGTGTTATGCTCCTGTGAGCTCCAACTATCGTATTCAATTATTAATCGAAATGTAATGTATTCAGGGTCATATTTCCTTGGATATTTTACTCGCGTTCAATTGTCTCCCATATTAATATTTCATTAAAAATATATATATATACAGTATTTAGCATTCAGAGAACGTTGGATAGGTAACACGTTTTCTCTACCTGATGTGTCACGTTGCTGATACTTTTATTCAACTTTTATTTATGTGAACTCTTGAGCAAATGTAGGTATAAAAAAGACCAGCGGCAGCCAAGAAAAGCTGCAATAAATGACAATTGGACAATTAAACTGTTAAAGAAATACAAAACCAACCTTTCCATTGTTGTAGGTTCTAGTCAGACACTAAATCTATTTGCAAGAGAATATTCTAGCCACTAATGCATATTGAATTGACCATTTTAAAATGTAACTGTATTACCTAAACCTTTTTTTGTACAATAAACTGCCCCCATCCAGGGAGTGATTGGTCAAAAACTGACAACGTTGAGTACATCAACCTCATGCGATGTTCTCACTTATCTCAATCTTAAAATGATTGTTTCATGTAAATGACCTTTTAAGCACCAATGCTATATTAGTTTGAAAATTAGCTGCTTACAACAACAAAAAAGAGCCCAGGATGTAGAACTCTTTTTATCCTATTTTACCTGAGTATCCAAATGACCTTGCTCAACCCTATGTGTCGAGAGTCCAATTGGAAAAGCTCCTGGTGCTCCCAATGCTCATTCAGAATATGGCTGAGGTTTATGGGAATAGTTATTGTGCAGGTAGTTGGTTGTACACCGAAGATATGGGAAAATGTAAGATTGACCTGATGATGCAACAAAAGAAAAAGTCAGGGATCACCAAAAATATTACAATTCATCTCCTTGGAACCATTCATGCATTCAACAGTTGTGAGGACATGTCACTCAAAACCACAAAATGTCATCTTCATATTGACAGGAGAAGAAAGGTTTGGCGATCAATAGGATTCATCCTCAGGGAACCATGAATGCCATGCATCTTTTGTAACGATTGAGATGTCAACATGATTCGGTGGATATGGGAAAACTTTGACCTGCTGGTAGCGCTAAAGAAATCAGTCAACGTATTCATCTTCTGGAAACCTGAATGTCTGTACAAAAAGTAATGGGAATCCATCCAGTAGTGTCAGTCTGGACCAAAGTGGTGGAACAACCAATGGATAAACCACCATCTCTAGAACCACAACACTAGCAAAAAAAAGTAAAACGTTCAATGTTTTTAAAGAATGTGTAAAGTAATACCGACTTGATAGCAAGTGTTCCATTGTAATATCCCTGTAAAGAATGATTGTGTGCGTTTTACTTCAAAAATATTGTCTCACTATAATATACTGTAACTACACTGACGTCTTCTTCACACTTATTAGACAATGACAATACCGTAAATCTTTCTTGTGCGAAAACCATGCTGTCCTGAGGTGAGTTTAAGAGTCCGGACGTCTGCTCTCTGACAGACTCTTGAGGCTCATGTACAGGGAGCTGACCATGGTGGCCTCCTCCTGGATGGACTCCTTCAGGTCGGGCTGACCCGCACACATCAGGGCCACCAGGGTCTTTGGCAGCTTCCCGCTGAATAGCAGGTAGATGACGGGGTTCGCACAGCTGTTCAGACTGGCCAGCAGCATCAGGATGGTGAAGGTAGCAGCTGGAAGAAACAAAAGTACAATATTTAACTTTCCCTGTCATTCCTTTTGGAGGTAACATTTTAATTGCGATTACATTTGCAGTTCTGTGTGAGGGAGGGAGGTGTAAACAATTGGCAACACTCATACTCCTGTGTTTGGTTTTTGGCACTGTACCTATTTCAAAATCAAAGTTGCTATGATGTTGAAGAGAAAGTTAAATAAAGTTTTACGAAAAAATCTCTGGGGCAGACTATACATTTATGATTTTTTAAGACATACGAGAACATATCTGTATAGTTAAAAATCCTGAAACACGGCAAGAATAAATATCAGTGCATACATTGTGAAAGAGAGAAGGACATCAGAAAAATAAAGTTTGTTGTACTGTGTTTGGTGAATGTTTTATTTGCCAGTGGCAAAGAAAGAAAAAAAGGAAATACATATAATGGACAATAAAGTATTCTGAATCTGAAAAGTATGTTCAAAAATAAATAGAAAAGCTGGTTTAGCTATAGATTACAGCTTATTCAATGTGTCTGGCTAGCTACATATTTATTTGTTCATGTTGTGAGATACCAAACCCTGTCCTTTTTCTCTGAGCAGGTGCCTCCTTTTCTGAACCTACCCCAATTTATTCCACATTAAGTCAACATTAATACTGATAACTTATTAAAACTCTCATTGGCTGTACAGCAGCGGAAGTCAATCAGATAGTGATATTTGGATTTCATAATGGGATATCTCTATTGATTGAATCATCTTTACTTTGTATCCTCATGCCTTATCTTGTGTCTTTTACCTGTAGCCTACCAAAAACGAAATAAATGTTGTTCATGTTGTGAGATCCAAAACCCTGTCCTCTTACTCTGAGTGGGCGCCTCCACGTCCCACACGGACCAAAGCTGCACGGTGAAGAAAGGCCCCCAGCAGAGGATGTAAGCGAACACGATCACCACGGTCATCTTCACCGTCTTGACCCTCGCTTTAGACACCCCCGCCACGCTGCTGGCCCGCGAGGACAGCGGCTTCCTGACCTTCCCTGCGCCCTGCTGCGTCTTCATGTGGAAGTTAATGTACACAGTGCGGCAGATGCGGACCTGACACACGATCACCATGAGAATGGGCAGCACGAATATCACCAGAGTGGTCCACGTCACGTAGGCTCTGGGACCCCACGGTTTAATGAACTGAGCCCAGCAATCGTACACACCGGGGGCCACCTCCACCCGGGAGAAGATGAAGATCTGCGGGAGGCTACCGATGAGAGAGGCGCACCAGGCGGCGCAAACTGGACCGTTCCAGCGTGCCCTGTGCCTCTGGAAAGTCACCATGGGTTTGCAGATGGCTTGATATCTGTCTATCGTCATCACTACAATCATATAAGAAGATGCAAACATCCCGACCACCTGCAGGTACTTCACAGCGCGACACAATACGTCCGGTCCCACGAATCGGTCAGTGATGTCCCACATGAGTTGCGGGCAAACTTGGAAAAATGTAACCACAAGGTCGGCGACGCACAGGTGGAGGACGAAGACGCGCATCCTGGAGAGCTGCTTCCTCCGCTTCCACAGCACCAGCAGCAGCCCGAAGTTTAGGATCCCCGCGGTGATGAAGATGATGGACAGGAGAGCTATTTCCACCCGAGCCAAGCGCTCATCCCGCGGATCATCGTCAGAGAGTGCGTCCTCCAAAGTGATGTTACTGATGTTTACAAAGAACCAAGACATG